AACCACCATGCCAACCACCACCACCACAACTCCAAAAACCACAACCACCGCAACAACTGCAGTGCTAACTACTACACCTACAACTACAACCACCACCACTGCAACACCGACCATGACAACAACTCCAACCACCACAACTACCATGCCAACAACTACAGCACAAACCACCATAACCACAACTCCAACCACGACAACACTAATCACAACAACCACAACTCCAACTACCACAACCACCAGTCCAACCACCATGCAAACCACCACAACTCCAACAATGAACACCATCATGCCAACCACCTCAACAACTGCTTTGCCAACTACTACAACCACAACTCCAACCACCACCACCGCAATGTCAACCATGACCACAACTCCAACCACCATGCCAACAACTGCAGCACAAACCACCACAATCACAACCCCAACCACGACCACTACAACACCAATCACAACAACGACAACTCCAACTACCTCAACCACCACACCAATAACCACAACTCTGACCACTACCACAACTCCACCTACCACAACCACCATGCCAACAACCACAACCAAAACTCCAACAACCACTACCACCACAACTGCAGCACCAACATCTACAACTTCAATTCCAACCACTACAACCACAACTCCAACCACCACAACTGCAACAACAAGAACGACTGCAACTCCAATCACCACAACCACAACCATCATGCCAACAACTGCAGCAGAAACCACAACAACCACTACTCCAACTACCAAAACCACCATGCAAACAACAACAACTCCAACTATCACGACAACCAGTCCACCCACCATGCCAACCACTACAACTCCAACAACAACCAATGGAACACCATCCACGACCACAACTCCAACCACCACAATCACAGCTCCAACCACGACAATACCAATCATAACAACCACAACTGCAATGACCACAACCACCACACCAATAACCACAACTACGGCCACTGCCACAACTCCAACAACCATGACCACAGGTCCAACTACTACAACTCCAACAACCACAACCGCCATGCCAACCACCACAACAAATGCAGTGCCAACCACTACAATGACAACTCCAAACACCACCACTGCAACACCAGCCACGACCACAACTCCAGGAACCACAACCACCATGCCAACAACTGCAGCACAAACCACCACAACCACAACTCCAACCACGACAACACCAATCACAACAACCACAACCCCAACTACCACAACCACCATGCCAACAACTATGACTCCAACAACCACGACCACCACAACAACTGCAGTGCCAACTACTACACCTACAACTACAACCACCACCACTGAAACACCAACCACGACAACAACTCCAACAACCACAACTACCATGCCAATAACTACAGCACAAACGACCATGACCACAACTCCAACCACGTCAACACTAATCACAACAACAACAACTCCAACTACCACAACCACCAGTCCAACCACCATGCAAACCACTACAACTCCAACAATGACAACCATCATGCCAACCACCACAACAACTGTAGTGCCAACTACTACAACTACAACTCCAACCACCACCGCAACATCAACCATGACCACAACTCCACCCACCATGCCAACAACTGCAGCAAAAACCACCCCAACCACAACCCCAACCATGACCACTACAACACCAATCACAACAACCACAACTCCAACTACCTCAACCACCACACCAATAACCACAACTCTGACCACTACCACAACTCCAACTACCATAACCACCATGCCAACCACCACCACCACAACTCCAACAACTACAACCACCACAACTGCAGCACCAACATCTACAACTTCAATTCCAACCA